AGGCCTCAGGCAACAAGGTGAGCCGGCAGTCCGTGCTGTGCGGCAGCCAGAACATCGTCCTCAACGGCAAGGTGAGCGCCGGGCCTTGGCTGCCGTGTCCCCGGGCGGTCCCCCGTGCCCTGCCCGCGGTACCCGGCGCTGCCATCCCGCAGCATCACTGACCTGCTGCGAGCAGCGCCCGCTGCTTTCATCCCCGCAGCAGCACCGCTCCGCTCCGTGCCTGAGCCTGGCTCTGTAATGCTCGCTGGCACCACCAGGAGCACAACTGCTGCTACCAACCTCCTGTACTTTTGCTTTGTTGTCACTTTTCTTTTGACTGAAAGAATTCTCCCTAAGTAAGATAATCTTGCGGAGGTGACCAGACCTCGGCATGAGTTTGTGTAAGAACTGCCAGTACAGGTAGCAAAGGGAGCTGGTTTACCTGTCTGTCCTTCTGCAGACAATAGTTATGAACGACTGCATCATCCGTGGTGACCTGGCGAACGTGCGGGTGGGACGGCACTGCGTGGTCAAGAGTCGCAGCGTCATCAGGCCCCCCTTCAAGAAGTTCAGTAAAGGGTAAGAGGCTCCTTCCTTTAGGGAGATGCCTAAAAAATCTGTCGGCTTGACGGAGTTTTGTGTTCCGAGAACTCTGTTCGTTTTGCAGCACTTAGCAGAAATGCATCTATCAAACCTACTTTTTCCTCAGATGCTGAGCTGTGCCTCGAGGGTTGGTGTTCCCATCAGAGTGTTGGATGGAAAGAGATAGATTAGAATAGCAAAGTGAAGAGCATGTTTCACTTTTGTGTGTTTATTCACAACATCTTCCTTCTTATTTGGGCCACCCTTTAGAGAGGAGAAATGCAGAATGTGTTCTGTCTCCCTTAGCAGCGGATCCACGTGTGTTAATCCATCTGGAGACAGGAGACTCTACGGGGTGATTTTGGGTCAAAGTGTCAGTTTGTTTGCTGGACACAAATACTCTCCTGTTGCAGGGTGGCTTTCTTCCCTCTGCACATTGGTGACCATGTCTTCATAGAAGAGGACTGCGTTGTCAACGCGGCCCAGATCGGCTCCTATGTGCACATAGGCAAGAACTGTGTCATTGTGAGTGCCATTTCTGTATTTTCTGTAAACTCCTGGCTGCTGCTGAGGCCTTGTGACAGCAGGTGAGCGGTGTCTGCACCAGCTGGCTGGAGCAGGATCACCTCTCTGCTCTTCCTTGCTGCTCCTCTTCCTTCTCTGCAGGAAGCTGAGCCTTCAGCTTTACTTTTCTGAGGACAGCTGCTGCTGGCTGGAAAATCCATCCCAACAGAGTTGTCCCTGTGGCTAATGGGATTGCCTGGGGAAGGCAGCCTGGCCACAGAGTACAAGTGGAATTGTGTTTCTGTGTAAATAAGACCAAACAGTCAAGGCTACTGTGTGCTGAGGTAGAGAAGGCCTTGCCTTGCTGGTACTGCTTGACTTGGGTTTTTGGTGCCAGTTTGAACATTGACATGTTAATGTGCAGTTGTACCTGTGCTAGTTGAAAGCAAGCAGACATTTTTCCTCAAAAAGAAAAGTTAATTCTGTTGGGAGGAGCATTCAATAAGGGTAAAGATTTATTTCTGTGATCTCTTATAAAGGATATGTTTTGAGCAGTTAATCTTCTTGAGGTTTAGGTAGCATATCAGTAATAGTAAGAAAATCTCATGTTTATAGTGTTGTAAATATAAACTTTTCCTGTTCTCTGTTTTAGGGACGTAGATGTGTTTTGAAAGACTGCTGCAAAATCTTAGACAACACAGTGCTTCCTCCTGAAACCGTAGTTCCACCTTTCACTGTCTTCTCGGGCTGCCCAGGTATGCTCCCTCTATCTTGCCTTGCACAAAAGTGCAGATAACATGGATATTCTTGTTTTAAATGGGATCTCTATAACAAAGGTGCCTGATAGCATTTAGTGCCCAAAAGTAAAGGCATCAGGCACTTGGTGCACTGAGAAGCAGCAGTTCTAACTTGTGGAACTCCCAGTTTTAGTGCATGGTACACGATGAGTGATGGCCATACTGTTGTTCTTCTTCCAGGACTCTTCTCCGGGGAGCTCCCGGAGTGCACCCAGGAACTCATGATTGACGTTACCAAGAGCTATTACCAGAAGTTCTTGCCACTCACTCAGGTCTAGTAGCCCATTTCCCACGTTTCAAGCACACAGGAGCATTCAGGGGTGGGGAGAGGGGTTTTGTCCAGTGAGGCCAGAGCTCTCCTGAGCACTCCCGTGCTGTGCCTCAGCCTGGCCGGGCAGTCCCTTGTGAAAGCTGCTGTGTCCTGTTCAGCCTTTGTATGCTCATCCAGTGTTCTCCATTCCACGTTGTCTGAATTGTGCCACTGAATGTTCTGGAGCTGGGAAAGCTGAAACACTTGGGGCAGCAGCTGGGGAATGAGGCAGAGCTGACACATGCTCTGCAGCCTCAGCCTGTCTGCTCAGCTCTGTCCTAACCCAAAGCTAGGCTAAGGTTTGCTAGGAGCAGATTCCATCCCAGCAGGGCTGTTCTGGCTGTGCTGTGGGCACTTACCAGGGTTCATTAGACCCAGGCCTTCCCTTTGGCACAGTACTTGCTGCCCATGGGCCTGCAGGCTGAGCTGTGTGGCCTCTTCCTTTCCTCCCTGGGATTCTGTTCAGGGGTTCGTCATCCTGCTGTTGGTTTTAGGGGTTTTAGCTGACACTGCCACCTTTCTGTGCTTGACAGGATGTTTCTTAGCTTTTAGCTCCTGAAGCACACTGACCTCAGTCCTGTGCTCTCACCCCTCAGGGCTGGTGTTCTTGGGGTCAGTGCCACTTCCTGAATATCACAGACCTTAAAGAGCTAAAGGCCTTTGAAAAGAGGATTGCCATGTCACTCACAGAATTCAGTGCAGCAGAAAGTGGGTAATTAAAAGTGAGAGAATGCTGCAACTGTGCCCATTTATTACCCAGAGTCTGTATTTGCAGAAAGCTCTTTGGTGCTTTTCTGAATTATGAAACTTAAGAATGACAGTCAAACTTCTTAGAAAGAGTGAAGATTTCATTTTGGACACGTAGTAGAGCAGGAATAGTTCTTGCTGAGAGCAGCTCTGAAAGTTGGAGTCATCTGATGCTTGTGTACCTGAGTACAGACAACTGGCTGCCTGCTCTAGCTGTGCTCTGTTAAAGCTTAGCATAGTCCTGCTCTGTTTTAAACTGGGGCTCCTGCATGTTGTAGTGTAGCAGCTGAGGCCAGGACACCCCGTATTAGGTGTGTGGTAGGTGTGTGGCTGTGGATGAGCAGCCCTGGAGCCTCAGCTGATCTGTGTAGCAAATGCTGATACACCTTAATAGCAAATAGTTGTATGAGTACTAACTGTGTAGTAGCTGCTGTACATCACATGTAAAACCACTGACTGGTTTGTATTTTTACTGTACATAAATTAAAGCCTCTTCAGTTGTTCAAGTGACTCGTGACTCTTCAAACCAAACTAGATTGAGGTTCCTGCTGTGCCTGGGCATGAACCACAGCTGTTCTACGGGTGCTGCAGGCTATTCTGGCTGTCCTGTGCATTAAAAAAGTGTAGTACAATGTGAAACAGCTGCTTCTTCCCTCTGAGGGGCCGGAGAGGCCTCCAGTCACAGACTTGACAGGTTTGGGGTTTCTTGTGAGATTTCCTGCAAGTCAGGAGTTCAGAGCACTGCTTTGCTCCAGGGTGTCTCTGGCAGTGTCTGGCAGGAGTGGGGTGTCTGTGCTGTGTTGCTGTGTTGTCTCCTCCAAGTTTTAACACCTTTAACACATTGTGCGTTTCACTGGGGTCGCTTGGTCAGCAGGGAGAGGAGTGGGAGGAGGGATATGAGCTTGGGAGTGGGATAGCAGCTGGAAAAGTCTGAGTGATGAATTTCCACAATCACCTGAGAGCAGAGCTGTAATGCATGAAGGGATATGTCACTGCAATTACATGTTTCTTGGCCTGCTCTTCCTTCTCGCTGTCTGAGCTGACTCTTCTGCCTTAATTAAAACCTCTTTTGTTGTCTCTGTTAAGGTGGCCTCTGCCAGGGCCTAAAACCAAGCCACCACTGAAGATCCCTAACACCCAGCATTGTTAACATTCCTTACACTGGCCACTTTCTCCTCCTGCCTCTGAAGCATCCCTCTGACCTGGGCTCGCCTCTCGGCTGCTGCCAGTTCTGGGAAGATGGAGTGTCAGTGGGCTGCAGCGTGGGGAGCCCCAGCTCTGCAGGCAGTCTGCCGTCCAGCGTGCTGCAGCAAAATGACACAGGAGGCTGTGCCTGTAGCCAGAGGAGCTGCAGGAGTGGGGAAGCATATCCTGCAGGGAGGGGAATGCCTTCTGTCAGGAATCTTGTACAAACACTGAGCACTTCTACCCCAAGTTGCTGTGTTGCTTCATTGATCCCGTGCGTGCTTTGCTCCGTGTTGCTGACCAGGACGGGCAGGGTGTGCTGCTGGGTTTGAGGATGCTCAGGGTCCCTGGGAGCACATCCCTGCCTGCCTGTGCCGCTGGGCCGGGTGCTGATGGCTCGGTGTGAGGAGTGAGTGAGGGGCTGTGTGGGAAGGTCTCAGGGGGAGAGACCGTGTGGGACCGTGCCTGCTTTGTGGGGAGCAGAACCTCCGGAGATGATCCAACTCTAGGGCAGGAATGGCACCTGAAGGGTGGCTGTGGTGGCCTGCAGGGCTCCTGGCTCTGTCGGGGCGCTCTCCAGGACACCCTGGCACGGATGACATGTGCCTGTGGGTGAGGCTCAACCCACCGGGCAAAAGCACGGTGGATGCTGTCCACTAACATCTGCTTTGCTGGGGAAAGGAGGCCAAACGATGCTAATTCCCTCAGCCCAAGGGGCTGTGCATGCCGGGAAGCAGCGCAGGTGCCTGGGCTGAGGTGGTTTTTGGGTTGTTTTGCACTGGTGGTGGAGTTAAGGCATGGCACCATCCCACGGTCACTTCTCTTGGCAAGCGGGGTCAGGAGAGCCTGGGGCAGGGGGCAGCGTGTCCGTGGGGTGCGAGGGCAGAGGGGCACTGAGGTTAGGGACAGCCCCTCAGAACAGCCGCATTGTCACCCGAGGGGCAGCAGGGCTGCGACTGTGTACGCTGTAAAACCGGCCCGAGGCGCGGTTCTCGGGCACCCGCGGGAATC